GTGTTTAATATTTCGAAAAATTTACAATATAAAAATATGTATCAATGATCGAATTATATCGGAGTTGGCAGTGGCTTTGCATTTATGACGCAATACGTATTTATGTTAATGAATTTAAAGGAATATATGTTATTAAAGCGGGAGCTTGTCACAATTATCATCAATCGCCACAATTATCATTTATCTAATCCATTGATAAATGCATATGATTACATCTGTGTCTAGTTTCTCGGCATTAATATGACCGCATCGCGATCATATAGCGTTTGTGCATTACTTGCATGAAGTAAATCGTGTTTATCCAGGCGCTTGATCTGGTCCACGTTAATACATGCGACATATAGTAATTATAACTTTATTAATCTAGACGGTCAATCATGGGATAATTGCTAGTACAATGTACGCTAGTGTTCGTATACGATGCTGAAACTCGATCATTTTCAACAGATTGGAAGCATACCCTGACTGTAACTTTGCAATAGACTTCCGTCTATGCTTGAGGAGTGAGAAGTGACTCAAAATGGAGTGAATCAATATCTCTGAGCTATAACACATGTTTAGCACATTCTGCTACTAATCTCACTTAATATACTTGATTAAAATGTTATTCTATATTTTTCTCCCTTATTTTTTTCGATAAAAAGAAAAGAAATTGAATACAATTGTTCCATAAAGCTATTTTATATTTTATTTGTTAAAATTTTTTATATATTTTGTTTTTTTTGTTACGATTTATTTATTATTTGGATTTGTTTCCTTTCAATTTACACAATTTGTATCATTTCTATCGACACGTATTTGCTTTAAATTAAAACATATAATAAAAAGTAATTTATTAATTTTAATTTTTTATTACCTTTTAAGAAAATCTAATTAATAAAATAAATATGTATATTCTAAAACAATTTATGAGCATCTATTATTCGAATTGAATCTAGTGAATTTATAATACATCTAATATATCGTATCGTATGTAATAATATGTAAATGCGCAATCATCAGTGTTGACGCAAATGTGTAGGATTCCTGTGTGAGATAATGTACCGCTAAATGTGCATCAATGTTGATTACTGCACAACGAGCAGGTTAATTTGCCTAATTGATTACATTCGTAATGACAATAAACTATTTTTCATACTAATCTGCTTATTTCATGTGATTGAATTGTAAGATATTGGACATTTTGCATTTCATTGCATTATTGTTTCATTGACTCCATTGGTTAATCGCTCCAACAGAAGCAGCCAAATTGCGTAAATTTATATCATACAAATTTGACCGATTTATCTGCACCATTTACGAATGAACATGTGCTACATTTGATTCTTGCCTTGACACGTTGCAATAATCGATTAATCGCTAATCAATCCAACGCATCGACGTATCGACAAATAAATAAATACGCTGATGGCCTTTCTGCTGAAATAATTATATAGCATTTGAGAAATTCCGAATAGAGTATATTGTAGGATCAAACAAATTGTATCAATGTCAATTGTAACAGCAAATATGTTATTTACATTAATTCTCGTAAAATTACAGCTCATCAATAGGATTTCCAGTCTTTCAGGTACCAATCAATATCTGTTTGGTAAATGATGATTTATCCTTGTCATTTTCCAATCTATATACGTTATATAAACCGGAAAAGCGAAACGAGAATATATGCATATGAAATTGCTATAGATGTTGGAAAGTAATCAATCATTTAATATATATCAAACTCGTTGGGAGAAACATATGTATTTTGAGTCATGCATGGGAAACGTTATGCATACGCGTGACTGAATTAATAATTTTATAATTTCACGACAAATCATGAGAGACCATAGATCATGTAAAATTTTATTTTCTTGTAAAAAGAAACTTGAGAGCTTTCCATTTTTTTTTTATTTAAACGGTTTCCATTGTGACAGTCTCGGCGGAGTTGCTCAACAAAAAGATCAGTAAACAGCATTTCTTTTAAATAAATACAAAATATTATAAAATGAACACGTTTCATAAATGCAAAAAATGACAAAACGTATATGTCTACTTATATAAGATATAAACACTCAAAAGATACAAATGTAAGTAATGTACATCAATTATATGATAAAAGTAACAATATTAATTGGACGATAACAATGCAAGCAATATTTAAATAGAAATACATATAAATAATATTAATATTTATCGTGTTTTAATTTTGACGTAAATATCAATTACATTTAGACTGTCATTTATTTAGATTTGTTATTCTAAGAAAATATATATCTAGATCGTCGGATGTGTTTCTTCCGCTTGTATTGTAGTGACTTGTATAATCACATATCGTACTTCGTGAGTCCGTGAATTATCGATTACTGGTGATGAAAAATCTTCATACAAGGGAGTGAACGTATCTCGTATTTTTCCCAGGAACAAAGAGCGTGTCATATTGGACGAGTTAAATGAGAGAATGCATTGCATACGGCTGCGTCCCGCATGTCTGGACAGATGGAAAATTGAAAACTATAAATTTCTTTGCTTTCCCCACCGACATTTCCCTTCTCCTGCATGCTACATTCAGCTACTTGCGGGATTCTGGCTTTTTAAAACAGATTTTATGAACTTGTGTTATTTGAAATTCAAAATAGAAATTGACCTAATATTATTTAAACACCTAATATTATTTCTTCTCAATGACGTATAGTATTTGTCATATTGAGAACTATATAACAGATAATACGATATTGCGAATGTTTGAATTCTGCCATAAACAGGAAAAATATTTCATTGATATAAAAATAAATAGATAAATAAATAAATAAATATTTGTATATACATATATATTTCTTTTTTTTCTACCTTTCTCTCGATTTTTCTCGTTCTCAATGTATAAAATTGCATAAAATACTCGCAATTGGCAAAATTGGAGTAATAAATTGAAACCTTATAAATATTTATTGCTAAAGTAATTATTATTATTCTGTTTTCTTTCTTCTAAGAACAATAGATGTTGCTTATTATTATAATAAAAATATGTATTACTCATATATATATATATATATATATATATATATATATATATATACATATGTGTGTGTGTGTGTATATGTATAAATTCTCTACTAGAATCTATATATCACATAATGCATCTATCTGACATAGATTACGGAAATATTTCGTCTTCGTTATTCTAGTATATTAACTGTAATTGACGTAATTCTGACGAAGACTGATTATAATGTTAATTTGATGTGTTCAGAAAACAAGCATGTCGATGTTACTTCATCCATTATGAAAATTATACGGCTAAAAAATTATATAGGTCAAGCGATCGCGAATCAAGGGGATATGACTATAGATTATTGATTTTTGCTGCAGCTTAAGCTACTACGACACTTTATTATCATAACTGTAACTTGCAGAATAACGCGGATGATTAATAATAAATGTATACGGTAAGCACTTTCATAGCGGTGATACGTAATTTCCATATTATGAGCATTACGCTAATTATTAGAATAAATTTGATATTATTTGGTTTTAATTAATTACAGAAAGCATAATAGAATATCAAATTTCCTAACTAATATTTACGTGGCAGATTTCAATATATTTACATAAGAGGTTAATTAAGTATTACAATTATTCTTAATTTAATTATCTTCTTTAACAAGCTTAAGATTCGAGATACTAAGATAATATATGTATGTCTGCGACAGATAGAAATGTAAAATATTCATGTATGTGTAAATAAAAAATCTTCCATAAATTTTTTGTCGGATTAAAATGTACATGAGTTTTTTCATATTATGTTACAAGTACGAGTATTATTACATTAGATATGAGCGTTTTCTCTATGAGAATTTTAATTAATCATAATTCAGAAATAATAATACTTAAATAATTAAAAATGTTATATTATTCTTCTGTGTTTTATTTTATATATTCTAAGAAAATAGAAAGTAAATTTCTATAAATCTGCATGATTTTAATAATCAAATTTAAATAAACATTTATGAATGAGATTTACATTTCAAAATTGTGATTCAAAAATAGTAGTAATATTCACAACTTTTTATGATACATATTTCCGATATTTTTCAAGTAATAAAATATATTGTAAATATATATCTAAATTAATTTATAATAAAAAATCTATAATTACATTAATTTTAATTAATGAATAATATACAATTAAAACTGAAAAATTAAAATTATCACAAAAATGTAATATGAATATGTATATATATATATATATATATATATATATATATATATATAGAACGAATTATTATATAAAATTCTTTTATTCAATTTTATATAATTGTATTATTTTATTCTTTTGACAGAATATATAAAATAATATTGAAAATAATTATATTTATCCAAAAGCTTTTTTCCTCTCCTCTCTCTCTTTTTCTAACTTTTTAAATATCTGTACAATATTGTGCAGAATCTGCTAGGTTGGTTTTCAAGAAACGCTAGCGGCAAAAAAAACAGTCGAATTCATTAGAGCAACCGGCACTCTTCTCATAAGGTGCAATTCCCTGCGCGCTAATAGTATCAGCTAGCATGATACAGACATGCTGCATCAAAGCCCCGTGTCGTCATATCCGCCGGCAGGCAAGAGATCTACACAGGACCTGTGCTAACAAATTTCGGCAGATTCGCAACCTCGAGACGGCCAAGAAAGAACTGCGAAAAGGAGAGTTACAGGGAGAGAGAAGGAAAGAGAATAAGAGAAACGAATGGAAAGGACGAGAACGGCCAGCACCGTCACAGAGGTGGAGTAGAAGCTGATGGAGGAGGGCTGAGAATTAGGGGTTGGTCGCAGGCAGCGTGCGCGCGAGAGAGTTTTGCCAGGGAGGGAAAGGGTGGAGTCCCCTCTCGCGCTTTCTCTCTCTCGCTCTCTCCCTCTCTTTCTCGCACCCTCTCTTTCTCCCTCGCCAACTTCCAACCCCTCTCGAGCGCGCGCGAGCTTTCGGGATTCGTGGTGGTGTGGAAACTCGAGCAGACAGCCAGTCGCTCGCCGTACGTTTCACGACGTGGCTCGAAAGTGCTGCCTGGCCGATCGAGATAAGCGACGACGACGATGACGACGACGACGGCGATGTGATGCTACTCCTGGACGACGTCGCCAGTCGATTCTGGCCCACGTTGAGATCCGTCGTCGTCCGGCAACGTTGACAGACATTTGACACTTGGCGATCGCGCCAATCGTTCGATCGTCGTTCGTTGGAATCCACAGGTATCTCAGGCAGCGCATTGCGAAGGTCGACCGTTTTCGCGCAACAAATTGCAGGCTGGAATCTGAACGATTGTCGTCTGCTAATCGATCGGGATCCAGAAGCATAAGATATCGTAAGATTTCTCCGTCGTTTTTAGAGATTCCATCGGGTGACGTGCGCGTTTGTGCTGGTAGAAGATCGCGAGAACGAAGATTCGCAAATTTAAAGTGAGACTAAAAGATTAAAAGTTGATCGATCGCTCTATAGATTTCACGGTGAAAGAATCTGAGAGGTGGATAATCAAGGATAATCTTGTTTTCGCTGATCAGTGACACTTTTATGGACCAGCGTGTGTCGCGCGTGTGCACGCGTTTTATCGTCACAGCTGGATTTCAAACATCGCGGGAGACCGAATTTCCGTCCAGGAAATTTAACGCTGATCGAACGTGAGCAATGAGGCGGCAAAATTAGCCGGAAGGACCGGCGGATCGGATTAACGTAGTGTCCGGCGTTATCGTACGCCCAGACCTGCCAAACTGCAGTTACCGCTTAATTGAAAAAAGGATCAAAGGATGACGGCGAATCAATTGTGAAAGCGGGGATAAAGAAGCGGAATAAACTGTGGGAGAGAAAAGTTGAGGTGCAATCGGGCATATGTAAACGGACAAAGTCTATAGGGAAAGTCGAAGAACGATCGTGAGAGCCGAGGAAGAAGCATAAGTGCCGTTTCCGCGGGGAATTTAATAAGCTCTCGCCGGCAGAATGCCATCCCGCAGATCGAATACGATGTCTCTGGGGTTTCTGATGCCATCGCAAAATATCTCGGGCAATCCACCGACGCTGAATGGCGTAGCTTAAGGTGGCTTCTTGTGTATACCACCGTCGCATGACGCAGATAATCGAAACGATAGCAGACTGAAGAGCTCGAGCAGGCTTCCCTCGTAGCGTGGTTTCATCCCCTCTTCTCGTTTTTTCCCAACATCTTTCTCTCTCTCTCTCTCTCTCTCTCTCTTTCTCTCTCTTTTTCTCTTTTTCTCTCTCGAGTCTGCAGCGATCACGCGACACGAGGAGCGCTTCGCCATGTACGCGTGACATCATGTCGACGACGTCTGTGCGTGACATATCATCGGGTGGTGACTACGTCGAAAGTGACGGTATACTTGCGTCGAGGGGTGTCGATGGATCGGGTACACTCCGATATGCCGAGTCCAGGACAACGCGAATGCAGAACCCCATAGACCGTGTCCACGCGACGTCGCGACTCGATGGATCGATCGCGCGCAAGATCCGTCGCGATCTGGGAACGTCCCGTCGCGGATAATCGTCGATCGTCGTCGCGCGACCGCCGTTGCTGCAGGGATGGACGGTAAGTCGAACGCGCGTTGCTGTCGCGTGTTGCTGGCACGCCAATTTCGTTGGCCCAAGGTCCTTCACGTCAAGGGCGTAGCCACGTGCATTTGAATTGCTAAACAGGCATGGATCACCTGATAATTAAAATACGATGCGAGAGAGACGGCGATTTATTATCTGCGAGGGAAAACGCTTGAGACAAGCGTCGATTTAATGCGCCGCCTGTTTTGTAAGCCACGTTGAGTTTCGAAAATGTATCGAGTGGTTCTCGGAATGGTTATAGATGGAATAAAATAAAATCTGCTTTCCAAGGGTCTTGAAATGTAAATAACGCCTTGGAAATCGATTTCCAAACGATATCATAATTTCGTTTCTGTTGTGAAAAAAAGAGAGAAATAAATACAATATTATATTTGTGCTATGTAAGCAATAACTCTCTCGATATTGCATGTTTTTAGAGTATTAAGTAATATTGTCACGTTATTTATTTCACCGTATCCTGGCGTGAAACGCCTTTTTTAAAGCACTCGTAACAATGATAAGGCAATTTCATGGAGGGAGATGAATCGAAAGAGAAAGATACTAGCTCCAGACTAGTACCGTGTCGTACGAATTAAGGTCTATAAATGAAGAGACCGCGGAGAGTAAAGGATGTACCATGATGGAAAAGGGATTCTTTTACTGTCCTTTTACCTTCGTCCTGGCATCGACTGTACAACAACTTTTCCTTCGCTCCTTCCTCCCTCGTTCTCACTTTTCCCTCCACTCTTTGCATCATCCCTTGATGTATTAAAGGGGCACGTGAAATATTCCGAAGGCATTTTCATTACCGTCCTCTCAGGGAATGCATGCGGGTTGATAAGCCTTTCTGTAGGAGGGCGTAGGGCAAAGTGGATTGCGAGGAGGAAAATCAAATGTATTCGGTTGCCAGTATGTTTTTTTTTATCTTTTTTCGGCTTCAGAGGGAAGATTACATTATTTTTATTAAATTTATACAGAACACAAATACTCGGTTCTATTCAGCGTTATAATTAGAAAAAAATGTTTTTTATGGCATGGACACTTTTTAGTAGAATGTCCATCCAATGTAAAATTAATCTCGACTGTTATCAATGTTAATTTTTGTCAAATCTATTCCATTTAAATTGGCTTTTATCTGAAGCGAGTAAATAATGAACATTACGCGAGCACACACCAATCACGTATGAATAATTTAGATTGGATTCTCTATGCATAGTAATTATATTTATGATTACAAATACATGGTTCAGTTATATGTGAATAGATAAATAAATGTATATATTTATATATAAATTTTAATATTCTCTCTCTTATATTCTCTTTTATAGTGCTTCAATTTTTCCTCAGTGCATGTATATTTTATCTATAGTAAATAACAATTACTTATTGTTGTAAAATCATGACTCAACAAAAATACATTCTATTAAATAATAATTTAAATACGTTCATTAATATCTACTTATGTATTTCTCTAATTACATAAGCCAACTTGTAACTTAATGACTTGCATAGTAAAATATTTATGATACAATTGCATAGAATTAATAATAATTTTCGTAAATTTTCTATCGCGAAAATACAGAACACAATCTATGATTCTAAAAAAAGCTATAATTCTATGCATCTTTTAAATAAAAAAATCTCAATAATAATTAATGCAGCAATACAATATTAAATATATGCATACGCACATACATACACGTACAAAAATTCACAAATAATATACTAATAATCATATTAATAAATTAAATGCTGTATTTAAATATTATATAAAAATTTATATTTATTTAGATGACTACTAAATAAATAATTATCTGGAAATTATATAAATAATCATTTTCTTTCTTATTATGTTTACGATATCGCAAGATAAAGGCGATTTAAAACGTCTTCGATGTTTCGAAATTATACAGCATAAGTTGCAGAGTTAGCAATCGGTAAATTTTGTGCAAATGGGTTCTCAGCAGACCACTTCGCTTTTTCAGGCGCAATTGAATCTGCCTCGGCACTCACGGCAGTCCTCCAGTCTAGTAGTTGACAAGGTAATTTCAGTAATTCCCTGAATGTACGGTATTTTACAAATTCCAGGGTACACTTACAATCCATGTATTTAGTATATTGAGTCATTACTGAGAGGGCTTATCGCTTGACTTCTTCCCTAGGGGTAAATGGAAATTTTCCTCTATAATTAAATGTAACGAAAATTTGTTTAAATTTTAAAAAAATTTCTATTTTATAAATTAATATTAAATTAAAATATATAATATTAATGAAAAAGTAGAAAAAAAGCTTGTTGCATTATTGCTTAAAATAAATGCAGAGAAAAATAAAATTTCCTAAATCATAAAAATGTTAAAATTAATTTTTAACTTAATAATTATAATTTATCGAATAAATAGTCAATAATGACATACAATTTTTTTTGTAAAATATTTTTATTCATCTGCAAATATGTATCTTCTCTTTATTATTTTCATCAATATTTGTCCATTCATAAAATTTACGCAATCTTTTCATATTAAGCAATTTCACTTTAGAATTTCAAATTATATTATTAGTCTTTAGTTTTACTTTAAGACAAATAAATATTTTTAAAAATGTTTATTATTTTATCTTTCAGAAAAAGATATTATGAGTTATTATATATATGCAGGAAATTCTTTTCTTCATTTTTTTTGTCTTTTTCAGATTAATTTTATGATAATAGTTTTAAATAAAATATTTTTTACATATATATTTTTCAATTTTCATATTTTACATATTTTATAATTTGCTACTATACAGATACTCGCTTTAAAACATGTATTATATTTGAGAATAATATCTATGAAAAACATCATGTTTCAAATATAACTTTTGGATGAAATTTGTATTTTTTTAGAACAACATTATTGCTTATTAAATATTTAACGCTGGAAAATTTAACAATAGCATCATTTCTGCCTTGAAATTATATGAAAATTTGATGAACTAAGAGTGCAACTGTGATTAGATAATATTCAATGAAAAATCCATAATTTATATAATTTTTTATCGAGGGAAATAAAAACAATTGCGTAATAAAAACTGTTAACTAAAAATTATGCAGTCACTTCTTGCTCCTTTCGTGCTTTCATAATGTGCGAAACAGAAAGTTATCGCCAGAAACAGAAGAAAGAAATTAAAGTAATTGTCATATGTGTATGTAATTCTGTTGCATTATTAGATAAATCGATCGAATGTTCCCAATAGGAAAACCAGGAATCTTTTTCAGTTAATTTAATAGACACGTTTCTCTGCCATTACCTGTTGCGTCACCATTATTATACATATGCCAGTGTAACGTTGACGGAGAAAAATGATGACTGTGTCGACCGGGAATAAATGTTCCTTATTCACCTTTATGTTACTATGCATATCTTGTTTATGTATATTAGACGCGCTTATGATTACAATCTTTAAAAAAAAAATAAATTTTCCGAGATTATTATCGTATTAGTTTTTTAATTGACAAAAATCAATTATAATTTTAACAAAAATTCATTTGGGAATTTCATATATATAATAATTTCATAATAATAATTTTATATAACTATATATCCATCAATAAAATAATATTCATTTAACTATTTCATAGTTGTATAAATATTATTTTGATATAAGTATATTGATATAGTTATATAAAATGTAATTAGTATAAAATATTATATATTAATATGTAAATAATGTGTGTAATAATAATATATGTGTACAGTTTTATACATAATTATATCTATATTATTTTAATAAAAAACGATCTTGTAACATCATTCAGGTTGAGATAATGTCTAGAGAGATACCGTAAAAATGTCACAAGCTATTTTATCAAAAACTACAATTCATATTTATTCATAGTTTATGAAAACTTATATAAATCTTAAAATATTTAAAAGAAGAAATATTATCGCTATGCTTAATAAATTAAATTTTTGAAGAAACACCTTGTTGCAAAATATATTCGAATAATAATTATTCATAATAAATACAAGCGTGACACTGGTTTAAAATTATTAGCATATTGTCAAATTTTACTTTTTGATTCATTTTATTTAATTATATGTTTGTCGATACGTGTCATATAGAAATATTCGCTCCGCGACATATATATATAGTTAATAATTATCACATATTATTTCCGACTAAATTGTTAATTATTCAATCGGGGATGGTGTGTTCAAAGTTAATACAACGAGTCTTTTATGATCGTATATTAATATTGAAATTTCTATCATGCCGGAAGAGAAAGAGTTACATATTTATAGACAAATATTGATATATGCGATTTAATTACAGCCTTTATCATAGTGTATGAAATTAATTTTCATGTATGAAAATGCCACGTGTCTAATTTGTTTGCAAAACGTTTCTTTATTGAATATAATTGAACCATGTCTGTGTTTTTACATTTAATTAAAAAATAAAATACTTTTAATTCGAGATATGTGAGAGTAAATATGGGAGAGTGCGTTAAATAATTATTAAAAATTGTTGAAATTATATATTAATTACTTTTTTTAAACTGAAATTAAATATTAGAGACCTACTTTGGATACATATTGCAATACTCGGGATAATTCCTCGAGATCATTTCTCACCTAAATGGTGCAACCCTTCCCCCCTAAAATATATAACAGAATAGCAGGAAGGAAGGAGTCCACATTAGCGAAGTTTCGTGCTAATTGTACGTAATTAATTATATTATTATTTCGTCAATTAATCTAAGTCTCACGCCGCGACGGTGGAGGATCATATTTTTCTCTCTCCTTACGATGTACGGTATTCTTTGCCGCAACTGCTGCACAAGAACGATCAATCTAGAGTGGTACGATTTCATTTTTTGAAAGACAGAAAACAACGTTACGTACAAAGGAGAAGAAAAATGTTGCCTTCTTGGCGAGATAAAAATTGCCAAGAATATATTGCGGAAATATTTTCTGCTTTTATCATAGAAGAAATCGTTATGTACGACATTTTAAT